AGGAGTTAGGAGGGGTAGAGGTAGACCTAGATTAGATTACTGTTCGCAAATAGTTAAGGATGTGGGCTGTTCTAGTTTTAGGGAAATGCGAAGTTTAGCTCAGGATAGGAAAGAGTGAAGGTACGTGTCCAACCAGTCTTAGGACTGACGACCTTATGATGATGATGTTTAACTTAAGAATCGGGCTTTTGTGTGAGATGTATTGATTGATCATATACTGACCCTGAATTTTACTTTGGAAAAAAAGTGGAGTTTATTTTGGAATAGGAACCTCTTAAAACATAAAAAATCACACTTTAATTTTGTTTTACGATATGTAAAGCTTGAGGTTAAAATCATCTGGATGAATCCGTGAAATTAGGTACGGTAAATTAGGCATTAATTTTCTTACTGTAAAATGACTAAATTACTTTAAATTTCCATTTTAATAAATTCTATCTAAACGTAAAATTTGAATCAGGAATAAAAAATAATGTTTAAACAAAATCGACTTAACCTTCGAATTGGACCTCAAAGTCAAAGTCAACTTCACCAGTCGACAGATACCCCCTAAAAGTTATACATCTTCTACCAAGACACTTTTCTGACGTGAGTTACTTAGGTGGGTCACCCCGTATAAAAAAAAATATAAACAAAACTGTTAAATAGTGTAAAACATTGTTTTATACGTATTATGAAATACTTTATTGTTTCAATGAGCATAACTCATAGCAAAAAAGGGTGAATTTTATATGTACCTTATTGTAGTCTTAGTTTTACCGAAACTATTGTTTGTATTTTTTTTATAAACCACCGATCATAATTAACGTAGACCCTTGTTTACCGGAATGAAAATATAATGATCCTAGCACATCATCCCTGATGAATTCACTATTCATTGTAGCTCAAAGAAAAGAATTGTCAAGTGACTTTTAATTACTTAATAATTACACCTTTCGTTCTTACTGCTACAAAAAGCACCATGCACTTACCAATGGAGCTTAATGATGATTCTTCGACAACAGAAAGACTGCTGTTGTGAATAGTGAGGTGTCGTATATCAAGTCCGAGAAAAATGAAACCGGGTAGCTTCATTAAGGTGTTATGACGTAATTTAAGGTAAAAAATAACGTAATTTTTTCCTTTTAGCACAGCCATGGCGTTGTCTATGTGCTGCTGATCTGTGAACTCGCAAAGTATATCCAAGCCATTCTTCTTTACCGTACAAGAACAAGGCGCTATTTCCTGTCTGTTCGGGCATTGTTGCTGAACCTTGAAAGAATCACATGCATAACATATCATCTAGAAAAATTTCATCTACAATAAAAGTAGTACATAATTCCCATGCTGTAACCTAACCCAACCTAATCTAATTGAAATATACTAGTTAAGGATGTTTGGGAGGTACAATCGGAGACAAGAGTACATAAAATTAGAAATTCGTAATTAATTAGGTTTTGCAGCATATCATGAGGTAAATAAATACTGCATTTCAGAAAATACTACAAACGGCACAGTGAACGCCATCTGTAGCACGATGCTACATTTTAGGATTACGTATTTTTCAACAAGGTCCACTTGTGTGGATATCTACTTGCTGAAAACGAATCC